AACCAGTTGCAAATAACCGGACTCTTCAGGATTGGCAAAATTAAGCAACCCCAAATCCAAATGTGACAGCTGCAAAGGCAAACCATCCGGCGGGATACCAACACCCCTGAAAGGTTTGACAGGGGCTTGACAAATAGGTCCATCAAACAGACACCGACTAGGCTCACCCCCATGAGAAGACGGCTGCACAAAAAGTGGCGGCATCAATAACCACAAAGAAGTATAAAGAGCACGGAATTAAACGTGCAAACCTGCCGTGCACACAGGAAACAGTTAGCATGCACATATGGATGCTCATGCAACCCCACCATGGTGCACGAAACAGTCTCACGATGTGTGAACGAACTGCATAAATCGTAACACACATACCAAACCAGACTCAACCGACATATATAGCGGAGCTTGAACATGCCTGAACCCCCCAAGGCAAGAACCCTCAGACACAAGATCAGAAACCATGGACACACCATCTACAATCCCACCAACGCAATCTCCACCAACGCAAACCCCTAGAAACCGAACATGGAATAACACCACATTGACAACAACATACAAATACAAGAGATTACAACGTGCACACAAGAAAATGCTATTATGCACACAGGAAATTGTGCATATATAAATCCCAGCAAATGCCTCCATTTATTCACAAACATGCACACATCAAACTCATTACTTAATAACACAACCTCACCAGTAAACCAATACTTGAATTCAAATTACAAACACCATTTAATAAAACTGTGCACACATAAATCACAAAAAATGCATCTACATATTGACACGCAAGCACAAGCCTAGAGTAAAAAATACACATTACATCTTATTTAAAGAATAAAAACAGAAAAAATGCATCCAAACTAACAATACATCTGAAATAGGCGTGATTCACAGATTAAAAACAAAAATAATTTCACAGAATAAAATTATAAAAAATTATATTTAGAAGACAATTGATCCCATCAGTACACCAAAAAAAAAAAAAAAAACACCCAGTAAAACCCTACTGTAATTCCGCCGCCTCAGCCCACTGTGAACCACCGTCCGCCACCCACCACCCACACAACAAGTGACGATGGGAAACACACATGCATAATCACCATCTACCAACCAAGCGACAACAACCCCACGAAAACCAAAAGCCAACCCCCCCCCCCCCCCCCCCCCAAAAAAAAAAAAAAAAAAACGAGAAAAAATTCGCAAGGAGATAAAAGGGGGCAAAACATACCTGGACTTACAACCCGAGATGGTGAATGCAGATGCTTGGCTCCACGGCGATCACCAACTGCGACCATCATCCGAGCTGCTGAAGAAGAGGAGACATCGATGGCGTGAAAAGCTTTGCAGACGCACGACAACGACACAGAGAGAGAAACCAGAAAGTCGAAAACACAGATAGTAATTGAATTTGAATAGGATTAGAATCAATTAAACAAAACTCAAAACCCCCCAAAATGCCCCCCTTAACGTAAAACAGAGTTGCGTTTCATTAAAATTCACCATAAATAATTAAATAAATCCTAGCCATCCATTCCCAAGATCCAACGCTTCTAACGAATCCACACGTTTGTATTTTAAGCTATGTTTGTATTTGAATATAATCATATATATATATATATATATATATATATATATATATATATATATATATATATATGTAACGAAGGGTTCAGGTGCGGGAATGACTTCCCATGCGGTTGTGCGGTTGGACGCACCTTAAGCATTAAAATGGCGCACATTAAGTATTAACTTCGCGCATCTTAGTTTATAACACTGACACACCTTAAACATACGAATCACGCACCTTAAGCACACAGCACACACACATTAAGCGCAAACTCACGCACATTAAGCACAAAACTCACACACCTTAATTTTCAACAACTTCTCACATTAAGCACTAACCTCACGCACCATAAGCACAAAACCCACGCAGCTTAAGCACAAATCTCACGCACCTTAAGTTTCAACAACTACTCATATTAAGCACACAACCCACGCACCTTATGCACAAACCATACGCACCTTAAGCACAAACCACACGCACCTTAAGCACAAACCACACGCACATTAAGCCCAAACCCAAGCACCTTAAATTTACCTAGATGCAAAAATGACCAAATTGTCACCGCGTTTTTTTTTTTTTTTTTTTAATTTTGGTAATCTTGGATGTTGATTTAAGTAAGATCAATGGCTCAGATTTAACCGCACAACTGCACCAGAACCTATATATATATATATATGGAAGGGTTCAGGTGCGGTTGTGTGATGGACGCACCTTAAGCTAGCATTAAAATGGCTCACATTAAGTTCACAAACCACGCACCTTAAGCACACAAACAAAACACCTTAAAAACACAAATCACGCACCTTAAGACACACAAACCACGTACCTTAAGAATAGAACAAATCACCTTAAGAACATAAACCACACACCTATGATTTTAAAATGGTTCACCTTAAGTTTCATACAACTGACGCAACTTAAACATACAAATCACGCATCTTAAAAAGGAAAATAACGCACCTTAAGCACAAAACTCATGCACCTTAAATACAAAACCCACGCACCTTAAGCAATAAACCGACGCACCTTAAGCACAAAACTCACGCACCTTAAGCACAAAACTCACACACCTTAAGTTTCACCAACTACTCACATTAAGTATATAACCCACGCACCTTAAGCACAAAACCCACACACCTTAAGCACAAAACTCACGCACCTTAAGCACAAAAATCACACACCTTAAATTTCACCTAATACAAAAATTACTAAATTGCCACCGCATTTTTTTAAAAAATTTTGGTAATCTTAGACATTGATTTAATCAAAATCAATGGCTCTCCTCTCACCCGCACCACCCGCATTTGAACCAAATTCTCATACAACCATTTTTATTTAATAGTATAAATAATTTGCTTTTTTAACATTGGTAAATCTAATGATAACGTCAATTACATTGATGTACTTAATTATGACATTTGATGAAGCTAAGGTTAGTTGCAACTGGTCCCTCGGACACACCAGCCAGCTTGTATTATTATAAAATGTTAAAGAACATGTACTGATGTACGTACTATACCGCAGCCATAGACAACTGGCCAGCTTGTATAGAAAAATGTGAATTCTATTATTGTTGCCAAGCTAAGTGTACTATTTTCCTAACACAATTAATCCTGATTGTATATCCAAAAAATAATAAATAAGTGAGTCAGTCTTGTAAGTAAATTAACATCGAAGAAGAAGAAAGAAAGAAAGAAATTAAAGCAGGCTAAGCTACACAGAGAAATTAAAGATGGAAGGCCAAACACCACATGCAATCTGCATTCCAACTCCAGCTCAAGGCCACATATGCGCCATGCTCAAGCTAGCTAAGCTTCTTCATCACAAAGGCTTTCACATTACCTATGTTCTCACTCAACTCAACTACACCCACATCATGCAAGCCAGAGACTTCGTCCCTCTGAATCAAACGCCCACCTTCCGCTTTGAAACCATCGCCGACGGCCTTCCGGCACGGGAAAACCGCCACAGCGCTATAGATTTCGCCGAGCTCTGCTTTGCGACTGCCAAGAATTGCTTCGCTCCGTTCAGGGAACTGGTTGATAGGCTGAACCTAGCACCGGATGTTCCTCCGGTTTCTTGTATAGTTTCCGATGCTTTTATGTCGTTCACTGTTAGAGCCGCCGAGGAGCTTGGTATTCCGGTGGCATTGTTTTGGCCGGTTAGCGGCGTCGTTAGTATGCTCCACCTACATTCTCCTCACCTCCGTGACAAGGTATCAAAAAACAAAGATATGAAAATGGCCCTCGAGACCGATCATATTATTGATTGGATCCCGGGAATCAAAAGTATTGGCTTGGGTGATATCCCAACGACAGCATGGTCGCCTGATCCAAATGACCCTTTGATTGACTACACAATTTCTGAAACTTCAAGAAGCTACAAAGCTTCAGCCATCATCTTTCACACATTTGATGAGCTAGAACCCGAGGTGTGCAACGCTTTGTGCTCCATGTTCGATCGAGCCTACACGATCGGACCCATTCCATTGCTTCTCAAGGGGTTTCCAGAAAGTGAAATCAACAAGATTGAATGTCACATGTGGAAAGAAGATCCCAATTGTATACAGTGGCTGGATTCTAAGCCTCCAAAATCAGTAGTTTATGTGAATTTTGGTTCCATGGCAGTTACCAGCCCTGAAAAGATGGTAGAACTCGCAATGGGACTGTGTAAAAGCATGCAAAGTTTCTTGTGGATCATCCGCTCGGAACTCCTTTCCAGCGATTGGTTTGCAACTCTCCCTCCCGAATTTATGAATGCGGTCAAGAGCAGAGGGTACGTAGCTGGTTGGTGCGATCAAGAACGGGTGTTGAATCACCCGTCCATAGGAGGGTTCTTAACCCATTGCGGGTGGAATTCGATACTGGAAAGTATGAGTGCCGGAGTGGCAATGCTTTGTTGGTCCTGTTTTGGCGATCAGCCGCTAAACCGGTTGTGTTGTTGCGCTCAGTGGGGACTTGGTGTGGAGATAGATAGTGATGTTAACAGAGAGAATGTTGGGAGTGTGGTGAGAGAGCTAATGGAAGGAGAAAAGGGTAGAGAGGTGAAGAAGAAGGCAACGTTTTGGAAAGAGAGAGCTGAAGCGGCCACTAGTGGTGGAGGCTCATCATTTTCCAATTTGGATAAGTTGATAAGGGAAGTATTATTGTGTGATGGGCAAGGCCACTATCCTAAGCATGTTTAAAAATGCAATCTTTATATTCTTGAAATAAAGGTGATGGAGATATAGTAGTTATAATATATTACTATGTGTAAGTCGTTTTATATGCATTATTTCCAAATATGCTAATATGATATTGTAACATTTCATATTTGTTATATTTGTATTTTTTCCACATACTTCTTTTTATGTATTTCCACCATTCTCATTTTCTCGTTTCTATACAACTTAATTCATAATCGTAAACGAGTATAACAATACTAACACACCACCTCAAGCACAAGGTTGGTGAGCCACAACATTGAGCTTGTCTCGAAGGATAGCGAACCTCGAACCAGGCAACGGTTTGGTGAAGATGTCCGCAAGCTGGTCCTTAGTAGAAACAAAATTGACGACGATGTCCCCGGAGGCCACTTTGTCGCGAACGAAGTGATAATCAATTTCGACATGTTTGGTGCGCGCATGGAAGACCGGATTGGCACAAAGATACGTTGCCCCGAGGTTGTCACACCACAAAGTTGACGGCTGTCCAGAGTGTAACCCAAGTTCACGGAGTAAAGAAACGACCCAAGTGACTTCAGCGGAAACATCGGCGAGGGCTTTATATTCGGCTATAGTAGATGAACGGGCGACAGTGCGTTGTTTCCTAGACAGCCAAGAGACAAGGTTAGACCCTAGGTAAACAGCATATCCACTCGTGCTCTTCCTATCAATCGGACAGCCGGCCCAGTCGAAGTCCGAATAGGCATGAATGGTAGTTGACGAGGATGGCGAGAGCCGTAGACTGTAGTCTAGCGTGCCCTTGGTGTAGCGTAACACACGTTTCACTAGCCCCCAGTGGTCAACGATTAGAGAGTGCATAAACTGACATAAGCGATTGACTGCATACAAGAGATCTGGCCGGGTGATAGTTAAGTACTGCAGTGCGCCCACTATACGGCGGTATTGTGTCGGGTTCTCAAACGGTTGATCAGACGGAGTTACCACCAGTGTGACGGCCGTTGGTGTGGCTAGGGGTTTACAATCCACCATTCCCGATCGACCAAGTAGGTCAGTCATGTAGCGCCGTTGAGAAAGAACTATACCATCTCCCACTGCAATTGTCTCAATACCCAAGAAAAAAAGAAGCCTGGTTTGCCAAGATCACGAATTTTGAAGGCAGTAGCTAGGCACTGCAGCATAGTACCAACCAGAGCGACGTTGTTGCCCATCAGAATGATATCGTCTATGTAAACAAGTAGAAACACTCGGGAATCACCCGCAGTATAATAAAAGAGTGAGACGTCTGTCTTTGATGACGAGAACCCTATAGACAGTAAGAAATCATGAAGCCTTTTAAACCAAGTCCGCGGGGCTTGTTTCAGACCATATAGAGAAGGCTGCAAGTGACAGACATGACCGGGGTTGGCCGGGTCTTCGTATCCTGGCGGTTGTCTCATGTATACAGTTTCTGCTAAATGCCCATTTAGGAAAGCGTTGTGAACATCCAACTGGCGCAGGGTCCAGCCGTTTGACACAGCAAGAGAAAAAAGCATTCGAACCGTGGTCGGTTTGACGACAAGGCTAAAAGTGTCAAAGAAATCTTCTCCCGCTACCTGATTGAAACCTTTGGCCACAAGACGTGCTTTGTAGCGCTCTACTGAGCCATCAGCAGTGCGTTTGGTGCGGAACACCTATTTGCACCCAATTATATTCATGTGTGATTCTGGTGGCACTAACCGCCAGGTGTTATTGTGTAGCAGGGCATTGAACTCCTGATCCATAGCCTCACGCCAGTGCGGGTGCCCTACAGCCTGGGAGTAGCAAGTAGGGTCAGTGGTTGCACTCAAGGCATGAAAAAGCTCATTTGTGCCCTTATTCATGTGACGGAGGCGCATGACATGATCCCGTCCTTGTGGTTGGATGCGAGGCTTGCGTACATGACCATGTGCGAGCCACCCGCGTCAGTCACCGCGGGGTAGTCATCAACGAGTATAAACTTGTGGGCCTACAAAAAATCCGATAGGTGAGGGAGAGACACCGGAGGGCCCGAGGCAGTGAGCGACGCAACCATGGCTTTGAGTTCCGGACGAAGGCCCCGGAACACGTAAAGATTTTGCTCAATTAACGATAGCGGACGGTCGACTTGCGCTAGAGATTCGACGAGGAGCTCCGCTCATCCCAAGTACTCTGCCGTCGAAGCGTTGCCTTGGCACAACGACTAGAACTGCCCCAGTAGATTCAGGCACCGGGCTTGGATAGAGGAACCAAGGGCGTTGGTTATCGAGTTCCAGACTTCCGCGGTGGTGTTCCGGCCAACGGCCAAGTGTAGCACTTCATCCGACATGGAGGGGACAAGGAGTGAGAGGATCGATTGATCCTGCTTCACCCACGCCTTGTGATCCGGATTGGGAAGAGGAACCGCCGCTGCTACACTTGTGAAGGGGTCGCTGGAGGAGGGGGCGGCGTCGATGGTCGCCGGTGGGCACGGGTTGCTGCCATCAACGTAGCCAAGTAAGTCTTGGCCCCATAGAAACGGAATTAATTGTGTACGCCAGAACAGGAAATTTCTGGACGTAATCTTCATGGAGACGTAGTGGTTGGCTCCGGCGAGAGGGTTTGGAGTAGTCGACGATGGAGTTCCGGCGGCGGAGACCGTTCGTTCCGAAGAATCCGTCGACTTGACTGAAGGTACACGGCGAGGGAGGGAGATTTGTGGTGGAGATAGAGAGAGAATCGATATCCTTACTGATACCAGATTAGAGAAATTGTTTCATTCAGTTGTAACAGGAAAGAGATTACAAAGTATATCTATAATACAACGCTAACATCTCCTGACTAATAGACTGTACTAAGTCAACTAAACTAACACCACACAAATACAAAGTGTAACATAAAATAATAATAAGAGAAAATTTCAATTTTGGTCCACTGACTATTGGAGTTGTGTTAATTGCAACACTTGACTTTCAAAAATGTTAATTTAGTACCCTGACTATGCAATTTCTATCAATTTTGGTCACGCCGGCCAAATTGCCGGCCAAATCTCACCGGAAAAATTTAATAGGTCAAATAATAAGGGTATTTTAGTCATTTGACTCATCTTCTTTCTTCTCCGATGAACTTTCCTCCATTTCCGGCGATATTCCTTCTCCAATGGTTATATATATATGTAGCCACTAGCCAGTGTTTCTATGTTTGTTCCTTTTATTTCATCACAAATAACTAACCATGGATTCTCGTGAAGAAGGAGAAGCACTTGCATTTACCAGAACATTGAAGCAAAACTTCCCAAATTTCAAATCTATTTCAGAAGCGTTGAAGGTTTTTAGGGATGGAAACATAGAACCCGCCGCTCTCGTTTCCAAGGTCTCCGAGCTTCTACGCGGTCGCCGTGACGATCGCCGGATTCAACTACTTCTTGCTGGAGAATCACAAGCTGCCGCTCCCCAGTGCCGACGTTCCCACCACGCCCCAGTTATCGTTGAAGAGACGAAAGCAAGTTCTAAACGAGGCCGTCGAATTCGTGAACAAAGTTCGGAAAATTTCCAAAGACGATGGAGTTTACGCCTTATTTCTCCGAGCGGTTACTGACTTTGAAGCCCACAGTGACATCATCCGAGCGGACAAACAAATCTCGGCTCTGTTCAAAGACAACCCCGGAGTTGTACATCGACTTCACCTGGTTCGCCGCCGCCGCCGACAACTATCGAAACCATGATGTTCGAGTATCATCATCGTCCCCAAGAAAGCTGACAGAATTGGGAAAATGTGAAGACAAAGTGTACAAGAGCGACAGGGTTTTCCATTCCGTGGAATCAACCAAGAAACCAACAGAGAAATTGCTTAAAGAAACGCGATAAAATGGCATTAATGGAGATGGTGGGACGATCACTACTCGATCTGCTATGAACATGAGGTGCATAAAAGAGATGTATGTTGAAGAACATGGATTCTCTGGGACAAGCTTATTGATTATTGGTGGAAGGAATCTCAGGGAAGGAATCTCAGAGAAGGAATCTCGCCGGAAATGGAGGGAAGTTCATTGGAGAAGAAAGAACATGAGTTAAATGACTAAAATACCCTCATTATTTGCCCTATTAAATTTTTCCGGCGAGATTTGGCTGGCAATTTGGCCGGCGTGACCAAAATTGATAGAAATTGCATAGTCAAGGTACTAAATTAACATTTTTGAAAGTCAAATGTTGCAATTAAAACAACTACAATAGTCAATGGACCAAAATTGAAATTTTCTCTAATAATAACATAGAATAATAATAATACTAACAATAAATAGGGAACCACTGGGGCATATATACAAGCTGGCTAAATAGAGCATATGCATTATGGAGTAGGGAAAGAATTTAACGTGTTTAGCTTGCCCACAAAAGGTAAAATCTTTAGTTCTAGGGTCTTTATACACTAGCTTGACAAGATTTGTGGAGGTGTTATAAATCGCAGTGACTTAGTGGCATGTTAGGTGAGAGGACTATTGTCTTGTGCCTACAAAGAGTCTATTCACATCGTATTAGGTGTAACTTTCATACTGCGACTGTTATGCATGGCTTGATCTTGTGTCATTTCTACAATCTGTCACTCATCAGGAACTAACTGGGTTGCGTTGCCCGTGCGGACATTTAATGTAATTAGCTAACTGCACTGAACGTGAAGATATGAAACTGATGAAAGATGTTGGGATCATTGAGACTCTGTTTCATATCTTCATGTTCCGGTGTAGTTAGCTAATTACATTAAATGTCCGCACGGGTAACATAACCCAGTTAGAAGAACTGATGAGTGACAGATTGTAGGAATGACACAAGATCAAATCATGCATAACAGTCGTAGTGCGAGAGTTATACCCAATATAATGTGAATAGACTCTTTCTAGGTACCACTCAATAGTCCTCTCACCTAACTTGCTGCAATTTATAACACCTTCACAAAGCTTGTCGAGCTGGTATATAAACACCCATAAACTAGAGATTTTACCTTTTGTGGGCAAGCTAATTAAAAACATTAAATTCTTTCCCTAATCCTCAATGCATATGCTCTATATTTAGCCCGCTTGTATATATGCCCCAGTGGTTCCCTATTTATTATACACCCCCTTTAAATATATATAATTAATTTTTATTTATACTCATTTACGATTATGAACTAAGTTGTATAGAAACGAGAAAATGAGAATGGTGGAAATACATAAAAAGAAGTACGTGGGAAAAATACAAATATAACAAATATGAAATGTTACAATATCATATTAGCATATTTGGAAATAATGCATACACATAGTAAACTATTTTAACTATATCTCCATCACACTTCATTTCAAAAATAAATATTGCATTTTTAAACATGCTTAGGATAGTAGCATTGCCCATCACACAATAATACTTCCCTTATCAACTTATCCAAATTGGAAAATGATGAGCCTCCAACACTAGTGGCCGCTTCAGCTCTCTCTTTCCAAAACGTTGCCTTCTTCTTCACCTCTCTACCCTTTTCTCCTTCCATTAGCTCCCTCACCACACTCCCAACATTCTCTCTATTAATATCACTATCTATCTCCACACCAAGTCCCCACCCAGAGCAACAACACAACCGATTTAGCGGCTGATCGCCAAAACAGGACCAACAAATCATTGCCACCCCGGCACTCATACTTTCTAGTATCGAATTCCACCCACAATGGGTTAAGAACCCTCCGATGGACGGGTGATTCAACACCCGTTCTTGATCGCACCAACCGGCTACATACCCTCTGCTCTTGACCGCATTCGTAAATTCGGGAGGGAGAGTGGCAAACCAATCGCTGGAAAGGAGTTCTGAGCGGATGATCCAAAGGAAATTTTGCATGCTTTTACACAGTCCCATTGCGAGTTCCACCATCTTTTCGGGGCTGGTAACTGCCATGGAACCAAAATTCACATAAACTACTGATTTTGGAGGCTTAGAATCCAGCCACTGTATACAACTGGGATCTTTTCTCCACATGTGACATTCAATCTTGTTGATTTCGCTTTCTGGAAACCCCTTGAGAAGCAATGGAATGGGTCCGATCGTGTAGGCTCGATCGAACATGGAGCACAATGCGTTGCACACCTCGGGTTCTAGCTCATCAAATGTGTGAAAGATGATCGCAGAAGCTTTGTAGCTTCTTGAAGTTTCAGAAATTATGTAGTCAATGAAAGGGTCATTTGGATCAGGCGACCATGCTGTCGCTGGGATATCACCCAAAGCAATACTTTTGATTCCCGGGATCCAATCAATAGTATGGTCGGTCTCGAGGGCCACTTTTGGTACCTTGTCACGGAGATGAGGAGAATGTAGGTGCAGAATAGTAGCGACGCCACTAAGCGGCCAAAACAATGCCACCGGAATACCAAGCTCCTCGGCGGCTCTAACAGTGAACGACATAAAAGCATCGGAAACTATATGATGAAGCATGCTGCTAATGAGATGATAAAGCATGCTGAAAAAGAGTAAACCAATAGTCTAAGGACTTACTTGTATTTTCCTTTCTTTTTCTGTTATAACTGCTTCTGCCACCATACTTAAGGGGTGATATTTTCCCTCCTGGTAAAGTAAGTTCTTCTGTATTCTTTCTCCCACTTTCAATACACTTCTTCCATCAATCAGCACTCATGTTCTGTGTTCAAGCATTCTCTCTTCCATATCCTGAGATCATGCTCTAAGTTCTCCAACATGGTATCAGAGCTTCATCGAAGCTACGCAGCAGTGGTCACGATGAATACTGGAGCAGACGAAGGAAATTCTAGTAGACAAGACGCCATTCCTGTGAATCAGACTCCAACAAATTAGAATCTGAATCAAAGGAACGAAGAACTTGATGATCCTTACTACATACATGCTACAGAGAATCCAAATCTGGTTCTCGTATCTCCTCTTTTGTCCGAAATTAACTACACTTCATGGAGCAGATCTATGAAGATAGCTCTTGAGATCAAAAACAAATTCGGCTTTGTTGATGGATCCTTGCCATGTCCAGGAACATTGGATCCAAAATATGGCGTGTGGATGAGGTGTAACAAGATAGTCTGTGCCTGGATCATGAAGTCGATCAATTCCACCATTGCAGAGAGTTTTCTTTACTTTGACATTGCATCAGACATCTGGAGTGCACTCAGCAAGAGGTATTCACAAGCAGATCCTCACAGAATTGCTGAAATCCAGAATCAGATTTTTACAAACGTGCAAGGTAACAAAAGTGTTAATGAATATTTTACAAAGTGTAATTCTCTTTGGGGACAAATGAGTGCTATGAGACCCCTGCCTGTCTGTGAATGTGTCCCTAAGTGTTCATGCACATTGATGAAAAAAATTCTGAAGGAGAAACAAGATGATCAAGTCATAAGATTCTTAGAGGGACTTAATGATGAGTATGAATCTGTGAAGTCAGGGATCCTTGTCATGGATCCAATCCCTAACATGGAAAAAGTTCTGAATATGACTTTGAAAATAGAGAGAAAACTCAATGGAACTATCAGCCAAAAAAGTATTGAACCAGCTCACTCAAATGCTGTTCAAACTGATCAGAATCAGTCCTTAGATGAACAAAGTGTTGCAGCCTTCTCAGGTCCAAACAACAGGAAAAGGTTCAACAACAATGGAGGCAAGAATGTGCCTAAGTGCACATATTGCAATATGATTGGTCATACAATTGAGAGATGTTATAAAAAAACATGGATACCCTGCAGGCTGGATTGCAGGTTACAAATCTAAGAACAAACAGAGTCAAGATGTCCCAAATTCCTCTGTGAATCAAGTGGGAGACATAGGAATGACTGCAGAACAATTTCAGAGACTTGTGACTCTCCTACAGAACCAAGGCCAAGCAAACAAGTCATCTTCTAATGCTGCTGTTACTATGCACAATACTGGGGTGAGAACTGAATTCAAAAACAGTCTTGAAGGCTCTACTGAAGGCAAGTTTATTTCTAACCTTCATATTAACAATGCAGTAGATATTATATGGATACTTGATTCAGGTGCCACAGATCATATTGCTTGCTCTTTAGAATACTTTGACAGCCACTGCAAAGTAGATGGAATATCTGTTAAACTACCTAATGGAGAAAATGTGAATGTCACACATATAGGAAACATTAGACTCCATTCAGGCCTTGTGTTGAGCAATGTGTTACATATCCCTTCTTTCACCTTTAATATTGTGTCTGCTAGCAAGTTGACAAAACAAGGGACATGCAAAATTATTATGAACACTGATTCTTGCACCATTCAGGGTCCTCATGGGATAGTGGATGGTTTTACTAAAGAGAAGAATGGACTGTACCTGATTTCTCAACCCCCTCCTAGAAGGAAGCATGCTGAAATTGATAGGACCATTAAATGTAATAGTCTATCTTTACAATTGTGGCATTATAGACTAGGTCACTACCCTGTGAACAGAATACATTCTCTGAATGGAATAAAAGATGCTCACTTCTACAAACTAGCTAATTTTGCCTGTGATGCTTGTCATTTTGCCAAACACAAGAGGTCTAGTTTTCCTATCAGTATTTCTAGAGCTGAAAATTGCTTTGACTTATTACATATGGATGTTTGGGGTCCTTTTGCTGTTGCATCTTTAAAAGGACAACACTATTTCTTAACAATTGTTGATGATCACAGTAGATTTACCTGGTTACACCTAATGCAAAGCAAATCAGAGGTAAAAACTCTATTTCAGAACTTCTATAGCTATGTTGATACTCAGTTTGACACAAAAATTAAAGCTATAAGGACTGATAATGGCACTGAGTTTATGATGAGTAGCTTCTGCAATGACAAAGGAATTTCACATCAGAAATCATGTGTGTACACCCCCCAGCAAAATGGCATTGCAGAAAGAAAACATCAACACATACTGAATGTAGCCAGGGCTCTTAGGTTCCAAGCTAGTTTACCAATTGAATACTGGGGTCATTGTGTTATGTATGCTTCCTATTTGATCAACAGATTGCCTACAGTCAAGAATGATCACAAAACTCCCTTTGAAATCTTATTTGGGAAGAATGTGGATTATAATCAGCTCAAAGTTTTTGGATGCTTGTGTTATGGATCCACAATTTCACAAAGAAGGAATAAGATGCAACCTAGAGCTAGGAAGTGCATTTTTTTGGGGATTCCTGCTAATGTGAAAGGTTATATTTTGTGTGATATTCTTGACAAGGAAGTGTTTATTTCCAGAGATGTCAAGTTCTATGAACACATATACCCTCTAAAAGAAAGCCATCCAACAAAAGGGTCAGATTCTCCTGAAGCTGAGACATTCAATCCTCCCTTACCTCTAGTGCCCATCTCCACTGACATTGACATCACACCTCTAGTACAAAATGATGATCATATCTCTCTTCACAGTGAGGAGACTATGGAAGCTGATGATAACATAAGAAGTGATATACATTCTGGATTGCATGATGAATCTATTCCAGAAGAGAATGAAGGGCAAGAAGATTCTATCAATGAAGGGGAAGAAGTTTCTGTCCAAGCACAACCTAGAAGGTCAGAGAGAACAAGAAACATTCCTGCCAGATTACAGGATTACTTTTGCCACTCAAATAGCAAATCCAAGGTCAGAACTTCTCCACATCCTATCAGCAATGTAATTTCCTATGATTGTCTGCCCCCTAGTCATAGGGCATGTGCTGCATCTATTCTCTCCACACATGAACCCCAAACTTATAATGAAGCAGTAAAAGTTGAAGCTTGGAGGGAGGCTATGCAGTCTGAAATTAAAGCTCTAATTGAAAATAAGACATGGATTCTCACAGATTTGCCAGCAGGGAAAACTCCTATTGGATGCAAATGGGTTTATAAGGTGAAATATAAGGCTGATGGTTCCATAGAAAGACACAAAGCAAGGCTGGTTGCCAAGGGTTACACCCAACAGCTTGGGGTAGATTACATGGAAACATTTTCTCCTGTGGCTAGGATGACAACAATAAGAACTTTTCTGGCCATAGCTGTTGCAAAGGGGTGGGACATCCAACAACTTGACATTAACAATGCTTTTCTACATGGAGATCTAGAGGAGGAAGTATATATGGTTATGCCTCCTGGTTTCCAGAATGATAAGCCAAAACAGGTCTGCAAACTATTGAGATCCTTGTATGGTTTAAGACAAGCTAGCAGGCAATGGAATGCAAAGTTGACAATGGCTTTAAAAGACAATGGCTACAAGCAATCTTCATCAGATCCTTCTCTATTCACTAAATGCTCAAATACTTCATTCATTGCCTTACTTATATATGTTGATGACATTCTAGTGGCAGGAAATGATCTCAACCAGATTGCTCAGTTGAAACAAAATCTGGACAAGGCTTTTAGAATAAAAGATCTAGGCCAATTGAACTACTTTCTTGGTATTGAAGCTTTTAGAACTCCTGATGGCCTCAACTTGTGCCAAAGAAAATATGCTATGGAGATTTTAAAAGAACATGGTTTTTTGGATGCTAAGCCTGCTCAAACACCCATAACAGCAGGTCAGAAACTCAACAATGAGGAAGGATATCTTCTTGACAAGCCTGAAGAGTATAGAAGGTTGGTTGGTAGACTTCTCTACTTAACAAATACCAGGCCAGAAATCTCCTATGCTGTGCAGCAGTTAAGCCAGTTTGTGGATAAGCCTAGAAGCACACACCTTATGGCTGCCCACAGAGTCTTAAGGTTTCTTAAAGGAGCCCCTGGAAAAGGTTTGTTCTTCCCAGCTCATTCTCAACTACAACTGCAAGGGTTCTCTGATTCAGACTGGGCAACATGTGCAGAAACAAGAAAATCTATCACTGGTTACTGCATCTACTTTGGGGAATCCCTAATTTCATGGAAGACAAAGAAACAAGCTACTGTGTCCAGGTCATCATCTGAGGCAGAATATAGGGCCCTAGCCTCAACAACATGTGAAATTCAATGGTTATTGTATCTTCTAGCAGACCTTGGACTGAAACATGGCCAGCCAGTTTCTTTATTCTGTGACAATCAATCAGCTATAGCTATTGGGGAAAATCATGTGTTTCATGAACGCACCAAACACATCGAAATAGATTGTCACATAGTCAAGCAAAAGGTATGTGAAAAGAAGATCAAGTTGATGCCCATACCTTCACAACAGCAGATTGCTGATGGATTCACCAAGGCCCTGCCTAAATTGAGCTTTGATATTTTCCATTCTAAGCTGGGGCTTCGAGACATCTACGCTCCAGCTTACGGGGGGTGATGAAGCATGCTGCTAATGAGATGATAAAGCATGCTGAAAAAGAGTAAACCAATAGTCTAAGGACTTACTTGTATTTTCCTTTCTTTTTCTGTTATAACTGCTTCTGCCACCATACTTAAGGGGTGATATTTTCCCTCCTGGTAAAGTAAGTTCTTCTGTATTCTTTCTCCCACTTTCAATACACTTCTTCCATCAATCAGCACTCATGTTCTGTGTTCAAGCATTCTCTCTTCCATATCCTGAGATCATGCTCTAAGTTCTCCAACACTATACAAGAAACCGGAGGAACATCCGGTGCTAGGTTCAGCCTATCAACCAGTTCCCTGAACGGAGCGTAGCAATTCTTGGCAGTCGCAAAGCAGAGCTCGGTGTAATCTATAGCGCTGTAGCGGTTTTCCCGTGCCGGAAGGCCGTCGGCGATGGTTTCGAAGCGGAAGGTGGGCGTTTGATTCAGAGGGACGAAGTCTCTGGCTTGCATGATGTGGGTGTAGTTGAGTTGAGTGAGAACATAGGTAATGCGAAAGCCTCTGTGGTGAAGAAGCTTAGCTAGCTTGAGCATGGCGGATATGTGGCCTTGACCTGGAGCTGGAATGCAGACAGCATGTGGTGTTTGGCCTTCCATCTTTAATTTGTTTGTTTCTTTCTTCTTCTTCGATGTTAATTTACTTATTGCATGAATTGAAGCATTCTTATATACAAGACTGACTCATTTATTTATTATTTTTTTGATATACAATCAGGATTAATTGTGTTATGAAAATAGTACACTTGGCAATAACAGAAATCACATTTTTCTATACAAGCTGGCCGGTTGTCTATACATGTTCTTTTTAACATTTTATAATAATACAAGGTGGCTGGTGTGTACGAGGGACCAGTTTGACCTAACCTTATCATTAATTGCACCAAATATTATAATTAAGTATATTAATGTGAAAGACGTTACCATTAGATCCACCAATGTTAAAACAGTAAATTACTTACACTATTAAGTAAAAATAGTTGCACTTTTAAGTGATTTTACTTGCACACTTGCACCAGTTACTTGTATTTTTACCAGATGTTATTTGCACCAAAGTTTGAGTAATTTTTGAAAATTTCACCCAGGATTTTTTTTTTTTAATTACATCTAATCCATTAAATCTAGACAAATACATGGTTGCGAATGGTTCTCAGTTCTTTCCTGGACATTCGTTCTCACCTGAGCATTAGGTTCAAATGCGGGTGGTGCGCCAGGTACAACTGTGCGGTGAGAGGAGAGCCATTAATTTTGATTAAATCAATGTCCAGGATTACCAAATTTTTTTTTAAAAAAAAAAATGCGGTGGCAATTTGGTAATTTTTGCATCTAGGTCAAATTTAAGGTGTGTGATTTTTGTGCTTAAGGTGCGTGAGTTTTGTGCTTAAGGTGCGTGGGTTGTGTACTTAATGTGAGTATTGAAGATAATGACAAGTATTGAAGATGAAGACAATGACAATGCTACCCAAAATAGAATAAAGAAGACTTAGAGAAATTTAAATCGAAAGTAGTATTTATTTAGACTATCATTTTAGATTAAGTATTTATACTAGCGTTATTACAAAGTTGCAAACATTTATTATAGTGACAATTATAATTAATCTCTCATATATTATCTTGCATCTATATATACTTTGAATTACTGATTTAAATAAACAAGTTCAGCATTCAATTGCATATGCATTAACATCTCCTATATATAATCTTGCATTGATATACTTCGAATTACTTATTGGGGTTGTAATCATTGAGCATTATCTCATTCACGCAATGCGCGTGAAAATATATATATATATATATATATATATATATATATATATATATATATATATATATATATATATATATATAATCTAATAAGAGTTAATAAAGTTAGGCGTGTATGATGGGAACTAAAAAATGTTGGTCCAATTGTTGGTTGAAATGAATGATTCATATTATTTTGGTTTTAGTATTTTTATTTTTTATTTTTTATTTTTTCCTACTTTACCTTCTTAACTTATTGATTTCCATAATGAAGGTTTTAAATTTGAACATCATCTCAATCAGAGTTGGCATGGTTATTGAACATATACTATTAATATGTTAGAGCTTATTAAAAAAATACAATATAAAATTTAACATCTCCATCAAATAGGTTGACAAACTTAGGGCTATGTTTGGTAAACCTAGCTGAAAAGTAGCTGAAAGCTGAAAACTGAAGAGCTATTAAGCTAGCTGATTATGCTTAAAAGTGTTTGGTAAAAGTAGCTTTTTGATAAGTAGATAAATGTAAAAAAAAAACTGAAAAGAACATCTTCATAAAATTTAAATAGTTCTAAATTTAAATAGGTTTGTTTACATATTAAAATTTAACATTTTGAAATAAACTATTAGCATAATCATGATTTAACATCCACTAATGAAGTAGCAATATTGTTCCGAATCTCCTTCATCTTAATAGAGGTCTCACTTAAATTTTCGTTGATGGAGATATTACTACTTCAATTTTGAAGATGACCAATAAAAATATAGAAGAAGAGAAAAGACCAAAATGGTTTGAGAGAGGTAAATGATGTCATTTATTTAAAATAATAAGGATAAAGATTGGAAAAAAAAAAGTTACGAAGTTACTAGAACACTTGATATTCTTTGGCTTCGGTGTCGGTCCTTAACCACTGAGTGGAAATAACGATTGTTAGCATCACCCTCTCGCAACCACTTGATCCTGGCCTTTTGTCTCCAAAAACACTCCTCCTGCTTAAGTGCCAACAACAGATCAGCTTGCAGAGCATGGAGCGCAACTCTCGACTCCCCGGAGGGATTGTTAGCGTAGGTGTGTTCAGCTTCCGCCACCCCGGCCTCTAAATCCTTCACACGGTCAAAAATATTTCCAAAGACTTCTTTATTCTAGACCTTTAGCGCTATTTTTAGTTGTTTAAGTTTGTACGCAAATGCTTTCATGCCTCCACCGTTAGCTGGCAATGCCCAATTCTGGCGAACCACCCGCTTAAAATCTGGATGAGATAACCACATGCGTTGAATTCTAAATTGTTTCGGGCAAGACATGTTTTCATTTGTAGCAGTAAACACTAGCAGAGCATGGTCCGAGGTTGTTCGCGCTAGCACTTTAATTTGCACCTCTGTAAACGAGTCGCGACTGAAAAAGCCCGTGTATCTTGAAATCAATTTAACACTAAGGATTCTACTTGATTTTATATTACGAGACAATTTCGCTGTTTAATTAAACCAATTTAATCAACATATAAATAACGAAATTGAAAGCGTAAATAAAGTAAAGACACAGTAGAATTGTTACGCAGTTCGGAGCTCCTTCTCCTACGTCTGCGGGGCAACCCACGTCTGCCCAATCCACTAGATGTTCACCACAGAGTATTACAAGAGGTAACTACACGGCTCACCGAGGTAACTACACGGCTCACAGCCTTTACCACTACAACTCTTCTAAAACACCTACTCAGGACTGAACCGTGCATGCCATAACCATCTTTGGTGTAGCACTTCAGCTGTCACAGGTACTGGTTTGTAGTACAGGTTTAAATCACAATTAATATAATCAATATTAAAGCAGTAATGTAGGAAGCTTGCAAATGAGATTAGAATTTCAGAATTGGCAACTTCCTCTTTCATTTTCCCTTCCTTATATACTGTACGTAGCTTCCTTTTCACCATGCCTTGATTATAGCTTTCACATGTGGCTAGAATTCTTCTCAACCACATCTTCTTTTAACTTGAGATCTTCAGACTTGCTCTTTGTCCAACTTCTTTAACAATAAATCTCCACCACACATTTTAGCTTGGTCCAAAATACTAATTACAATCCATGCTAATTAACTTTACATATTAATAAAATAGACTAATAAATTAGCCAATCTAATGTGTACTATTTCGTACACTTACAGCGACAGTGGGAGTTCAATAGAAATCGATCTAGCCTTTTCCATACGGCTCCTGTGGTTCGCGTCCCATGCCAGGTGTATAGGCTTCCTGTTACAGGTAAATCTAGCAAATTATTATCCAAGATGAAGTTGGAAAAATCCCCAATGTTGTTTGTGTCCGGCAGTGCGCTACCCCTGTATTCAGAGATACTGGATATCACATTAAAATCCCCTCCTAGTAAAACTCATCCTTAAGTTATAAGCTTTATTTGGTAATGTTCATAAAATAAGATAACAGGTTAAAATAAGAACATATTTTAAAACGCTTCCTTAGGTAGCGTTTTAAAAATAAGCTAATAGCTTCATAACTTTTTTCATTCTTTATCCATATTATTTTAAACTAGTAATTGTCCCGTGCGATGCACGTACTATTATTAATTTAATAAATTTACCAATTAAATTTTTGACATCCTCTGAATTAGCAAAAAGAAGTAATGGTTGTGGAAACAGAAAAACGTACTTGAATTTTTGAGCTCAAAAGTAATTTGATTAAAAATGTATGTATAACTATATAATGTAATATTTAATATTTTTAAAATTTTAATTATGCTATTATTATATTGATTTTAAAGTTTATTGTTACTTGTATTATTATTTGAATTTGAATTTTTTTTGAAAGAAATTTGAATTTGAAATAACTAATTTAATTATATAACTAACGTATTTAAATAAAACTTGTAAATAAAATAACAGGTGATATTTAAAAGTGTTTGGTAAAAGTAGTTTTTTTATAAGTAGATAAATGTAAAAAGACTAAAAAGAACATCTTCATAAAATTTAAATAGTTCTAAAAGAACATCTTCATAAAGTAGTTTTTTAATCGCGTTTAGGTGCGAATTTCTCACCCAGGAGAGAAATAAGAACGCATGTCATCCGTCCACGTGTCCAGATCTAACGGATGAGAAACACTGATTAAAAAAAAAAAAAAGTGATCGCATTTTCATAAATAATTGAACATAAAAGTACAAGTAAAAATGTATTACAAGTGCAAGTAGCAGTTTCATATAGTGCACCTCAGTGCATTTAAAATGTATTACAAGTGCAGGTAAAATGTATTACAAGTGCAAGTAAAATTAAAATTGAGAATCAATACTAAGTGCACATAACGTTATAACTATGTGCACCTATAGTTATAAGTAGTTGCACCTAGGTGCATGAATGTTAATAACGTAAATTACTTGCACTTTTTACTTGTAAAGGTGCACCAGCTACTTGCACTTATAACACATTTACGTGCATCAAAGTTTAAGTTATTTACGAAAATACCACTATGTCGTTTTTTAAAAAATTACATATGATTCGTTGATCTAGACACGTAGACGACACTGAATGGTTGTGTGTCTGCAAATAGGAAATCACGGGATGGAGTGGATGGTGGTAAAATGTGTTAAAAGGAATTCGACCAAGTGTTTTTTTTAACATTCAAATTAATGATTGAAACTAAATGTGAAGCACTTAAAAATGTTTTGATTAATTGCATATATCCATGTACTTACATCAACGAGGACTAAACTTGATATTAAAGGAGTGAAAACAGGTTACAAGCAATGCGGTATGTGCACTTGGAAGTTCAAAACCATGTACTTGAAATTAAAAAATGTGTACTTAAAGGCAAACAAATTGCATTCGAAGATAAATATATGTGCAATTGATGTAATTTATTGT